TGGGTGTGTGTGTGTGTGTGTCTGTGTTTATGGGCACACATGTTACAGCACATGTGGAGGTCAGAGAACAACTCTCTGGGGTCAGTTTTTTCCCTTCCAAATGTGGGTTCCAAGGCTCATCTCCGGCTCTAGATGAATGTTCATTAAATAATAAACATTCCTTGAGCATCTAAGGGAAAATCAATTTACCCTAGCGTATTGACAAGGTGGGTGTCAAGCTGCGTTCCTTAGACCTGTGCAGCTTCAGGGTTGCAATTGGCCCAGTGCAGGGAATCTCCACTGCCTCCTCTGTTTCCCCTTTTCCTCCCTGTTTCCATATACTTTAAGCTAAAATCAAGTTTTGATACACAGGACTTCATGCTTTGTTTTTAAAACTAATGTCTGTACAAAAATGTCCACTACTGTTGATTTATAAATAAAATAATTTTAAAATATATTTAGGAGCCACATGTCTCATGGTGGGTCTTGTGCAAGCACGAGGATCTAGCACCCAAGTGGAAAGCAGAACACTGGTATGACACCCTGTAATCAGCACTAGGGGTGCAAGGGAAGACCTCGGGGTTCACTGGCTCGTCAGCGGGCTCAACCATGAGCTCTAGGTTAACTGAGAGATCCTGGATAAAAAGTAAGGCAGATAATACCCAGTGTCTGCTTTAATGTGTCCATGAAATTTTCTAATGCTCTTTTTCTTTAACCCTAAATTCACAGGTACTTCTGTTGTGACTGTAAAGGCTTTTGCTCTTGTCTCAGTTCCAGACTCCATTACATATTCAGTTTTTAGCGGGAATGAAGATGGAGTGTTTTCCCTGGATTCTAACTCAGGTAATCCCTTTCTACTTTATGATGACTTTATTCTCTTTTTGCTTTACTGGTATTACTGAGAAGTAATTCTGGGACACTTGAAAAAATCAGGGCAGAAGAGGGTACAGAAAGAACCCAAGAGCCAAAGGATGGGGAAGAGGGAAGAGGAAACCCTCCCTGTCTTCTTGACTTGGTATAGTTGCTGCACGGTTTGAGCTCTCAGCAGTTGTGGCACGTGCACAGGACCCGGAAAACACGGAGCCTGTCAGCAGACACCGTGGACGGAGGAGGGTTCCTGATGCCTTACCGCTACACAGGGGTGGGGGCTGTGGGGGGGTGGAAAGCTGCTTCTGCTCAATTCAGTAATCCCCACCTCCACTCATGCAGTCAGCCCTGGCTAAAAACACAGGCAACTCCCAAAAGGAATACCAGTAGAAGAAAGACTTGTTAGGAATGAGGGGCTTGGCAGGGGTGGAAGAAAGTAGGAGGCGATAATAGGAGATGAATAAAAGTATTTATCATACATATCACACACATTATATATATATATATCATATCTGATAAGTAATTCTGAAATATCACACACACAAGAAATTGTGAAAGGATGAATTAAAAATTAAAAGTTTGAAATTGTTAGAGATAAATAATTGTAAGATAAGTCAGAGTTGTTCCACGACAGCCCATGAGGGATTATGGGGAACCCAAAGCTGTGTATTTGCTGATCCGTATAGAGTCACTGAAAATTATTTTCTTACCATTTCCAGAATAAACAGAGTCTATTCTGCCTTTTGAATTTTTGAAGCTGCATTGGCTTTTCCTTATAATTTACTCACCTGTTTTGGAAACTGAAGATAAAGTTAGGGACATTGTTGAGACTGAATTTGGTTAAAGATAAACACATACTCTGGCCTTGGGGAGTTTTCACTGGAAGGGCCTTGAATTCTTCTCTCATCCCAACTGGGAAACCTGAGGACTCATGGGAGGCTTTTCTGTGGTGTTAAAGAAAGGACTTACAAACAGGGTGTATGTTAAACTCGGCTTTAGTTAGACTATTATTATGCTGTAAGTAAGCACCAACCCATTACACAAGCATGAACCATCAGCTACCTGACAGCAATCAACTACTGCACTGTCAAACCCGACCAAGAATATTCTAATACATTCGGCGTTACTGTGTAGCTCAGCTGTTTTATTTTGCCATGTTAAGCACTTGTTGGGAAAAATAAGAGTGAGTTTGTTGGAGTAAAATCATCTCGTCCAGGGCTATGCTGTGACTGATGGTTCACCCGGCCTTCAGTCCGTGTTCTAGCTGAGATGTGCTAGGAGCCTTCATCTCTTCTTCCAGTGTGGAACAAAGGACAGTGCAGCAAGCATCATCACTCCTGAACTTCCTCATGGTTCCAGAGTGTCAGGGTCCGCAAGAAAAACTGACATTAAACATATTTAGGAAAGCAATAACAACAGTAAGATTTGCGTACTTCCAAAGTTATCCAGATCCTTTGTCTATATCACTCTTGTAAGGTTCAGGCATAGTCTACTCAATCCCACAAACTCCTTTATTAAACAAAAAATAAACTCTACCTACCATTAGATCAAAGTTCTTACCAGTAGACATATATTTTTTGACAAAGCAATTAGCTATGTTGAAATTTACCTTAAAATAGTTTTAAAATATGTGTAAGATGGTACAACAAGAGGAATGTAATTCCCACTAGACAATGGAAATTATAAAGCCTACTTATCTGTCTCTATCTCTAGAAATAAGACCTCATTGGAGGCCTGTGTGGTGGGTCACATCATGAATCCCAGCTCTCAGGAGGCAGAGGCAGGAGGATCTCTGTGAGTTTGAGGATGGGCTGGTCTTATCTAGTGAGTTTTAGGATAGCCAGGGCTATGTGAAGAGAGACTGTCTCAAAAACAAACACGGTATATACTCACTTATATAGACCTATAAGATATAATAAACATAATGAAATCTGTACACCTATAAAAGATAATCAAGAGAGTGGACATGGGGTAAGATGATCAATCCTCGTTTAGAATGAGGATTGCATTGGGATGGGATGGGATGTGCATTGAACGTATGACAGGTGTCTACTGAGCGCATTGGAAAGACTCTAACTAGCAGTGTTTTCAAAGCAAAGACTCATGACCAAACCTTTGGCAGAGTACAGGGAATCATAAGAAAGAAGGGAAGTTAGTCTGATGAGGAAAGGATAGGAGCTCCACAAGGACCAAACATATCTGGGCACAGGGTCTTTTCTGAGACTGACATGCAACCAAGGACCATGTATGAATGTAACCTAGAGCCTCTGCTCAGATGTAGCCTGTGGTAGCTCAGTAACCAATTGGTTTCCCATAGTGAGGGGAACAAGGACTATTTCTAACAGGAACTCAATGAATGGCTCTTTGGCCTCCCCACCCCCCAAGGGAGGAGCAGTCCTGTTAGGCCACAGAGGAGAGCTTTGCAGCCAGTCCTGAAGATACCTGATAAAACAGGATCAGATGAATGGGGAGGAGGTCCCCCCTATCAGTGGACTTGGCAAGGGGCGCGGTGGAGAGGAGGGAGGGAGGGAGGGACTGGGAGGGAATGAGGGATCGGGACATGGCTGGGGTACAGAGTTAATAAAATGTAACTGATAAGAAAAAAATAAAATACAAAAAAGAAAAAAAAAACAAAAACAAAAACAAACAACCCATCACCACCAAAAAGCCTTACTGGACCAGGAAGCCACCCTGGGTCTCCTCCCTTTCTGGTCCATTTCCTCTTTCCCTGATTCTCTTGTTTGCTCCTTCCTATATGGTAGTCTAGAAATTTGTATACACTGTTGAGTGGCTAAATGAAGGAAATTTATGCATGTACCCTGGCCCTCTTCTTTCACATCAGGTGATCAGCAGCCTGAGGCTGGTGCAGGGCACCAAGTTACCATCTTGTCTTTATTATCCTGCTGTGTTTGAATCCCCTACCCAATGTTCTCTTTTAGCTTGATCAAAATCACACTGTGTCCTCTTCTGTGACTTGATGGTAACAAAGCCCCATACTTTAGTGGAGTGCGTAAAACATTCTCCATCAAGGAGGGTAGCCATGGATGACACATGCCCTGTTGCCTGCCTGTTTAAGCTAGTCTAAGAATGTCGTACTTTCTTGCTAAAATTAATGCAATGACGCGTTTTTCATTTTTTAATTTTTTGACAGCACTGACATTCACTCTTCTGTCTTTGCAATGAACAAGTTTGTATATAAAATGCAACTCTCATGTGACTTTTTGCACATTACCAGTAAAATTGTGCGTAAAAGTATATAACGAAGATTTTTTTTCTGGATGTTTATTATAAAATAGGAAACTGGTAGGAATGATAAATCAGTAAAATTGATCTCTGAAGGGACGGTCACAAACACCAGTTGCAGTCTGAGGCTGCAGGGATTTGCGAATGTGACCAAGATTGAGCATGTAAATAACAGCTGGTCCCACTCAGGCCGTTACTTGGTTGACCGACCGAAAACAAAGTGATGAAGCTCTCAGCGTCTCCCAGGCACAGCTGTATCCGAATGGAGCTTAAGCACTACGGGATAACGTCAACATTTGCCCACTGTGCTTTGGGCTTCCACAGATGTGTGCCCATAGTGTGTGACTGGCTGAAGTAACCTGATCACGTCATCAAGCCAGCACCATTTGAAGAGTCGAAATTTCATTCTGGTGTGGATTTTGCAGCTTGGACAGAGCTCTGGCTGTGCACATATTGGAAACTGTTCCTGTGGCTTTGTTCTCCTGCTGCTACACCACTGGCAGCCTAACACACGCACAGACCTTTCAGGGGGACATTGGTGAGGCTTCTTGGCGGATCAAAGCAGGCAGCTTTCTGCCCAGGTGTTGGGCACTTCCCTCATGGCCACATCTGCAATGTTTCTGAGAGAAATGCACACGTGTGATGCAAGGCAAAACTCGGGCTTAGTGTTTGTGCCAGCCTGGAGCCCTCTCACGAGCTTCACAACTGTGTGTCATTCATCACAACCAAAACGAAAACCAAGCAGAAAGCATTAGAGCCGTAGGTCCACTCCAAACGTAGTTAACCAAGGCCCAGCAGATCTTGATTAAACTCCATTTTGCCTCCCGCCGGCTGGCACACGTTCTCCCAGACAACACCCTCACTTGGTGCTGTGCTCCTCATTTCTCCTTCCTGGACAAACAGTCCATGATGGTGTGTTCCGGGGAACACTTCATCTCCCTCTCGGGCTTCCATCCCCACAGTGCAGGGCTTTCTGAAGATTTGCCCTTTTCACTGCCGGTCACAAGACGCATCACAGTGACTCTGCAGGGTCACCCTAAATACTGTCAAGTGGTTCTGGTCACAGGCAGATGTGGTTTGTGGAAGTGTCAAAAATGACAGCGAATTGCTGATGTTTTCATTTAGGCAGTGGAGGGAATGGAGAGGTGGCACAGAGGCTGAGGGATGTCTCTCTTTCAGAGGCCTAACGTTAGAGTCCCAGCAGCCATTCTAGGCATCTCACAGCTGCCTGTACCTGCAGCTCTAGGCCATCCAAAGACCTCCCTCCGTCCTCTATGAGCATTGCACTCATGTGCACAAATTCACACACATACACATACATATGCATAGCAAGATTTTAAGTTCTTAAATTTGGTAGTAAAATCCTTAATCTGGAATATAGGTTCCCTCAAAGTTGCAATGCATGTGCCTTCACATGCCCGGAAATTCCCATTTCCAAGCCTTCCTCAAGATTGTTTGTTTGTTCACTTTATACCAGCACATGTCGTCCCACAACAGACACCCGTAGTAGAAATCACACAGAGGAATGTCAAGGCAGGAAAGTTGAGCTGTGGCATCATCCCCCAAGGTCCACTTCTGTAACCCCATTCTGTGTTTTCTATGGGGTGTGAGAGTATTGAATGCTGGCCCATGAGCGAGGTACTGGGGATATGATGAAGTTCAAGAGAGAGGGAGTGTGCTCAATGTGGAGTCTACAACAACAACAACAACAAGGTAACCAGACTGAAACAGCTATACAGACGATGCAGCTGTCCAAAAGCAGAAGGCATAGGATGGATGGGTATTCATAAGAGGGGCTGGGGAAGTCAAAAAAGACAACAGGCAAGACTGAGGTAGAGCAGGCCTAAGCCAGCATGTCCCTGCAAGTTAAAGCTTCCCACCTCTGTCACAGTGTAGAAACCCACTGGCGGGTTCTCTGCAGGAGAACAACAGCTTTCCTTGTCAGTTCAGAATGGAGCCTGGATCCTTGGGGAGATCAGCTCAACAGCTAATGCTCAACTAATGCAGGGACCAAGGAGGAGAATGCTGGTGGTTTAAGGAGATGGAAGGAGATGTGAGAAATGTTGGAGATGTCCCAGTTGGTTAAAGAATGAGCGGCCTTCATATGATCCCAAGTTCTACTCACAGAACCGTCATAAAAAGCCAGATGCTGTGTAATCACACGTCTGCAATCCTAACATTCCTACTTCCAGAAAGCAGAGGCAGACAAGTTGCTGGAGGTCTGTGGGCCAGCTAGACTGGAGTACAATGGATAACAGCAGGAAAAGGAGAGGCCATGCATGTCGCAGCAAGGCTGAAGACAAGAACCAACTTCCAAAAGCTCGCCTCTTAGCATCACAGGCACACTACGGCAGGCCTCCCTGCAATGGATGGATGAATGAACAGATTGGTTATTTAAAAAAAATGTTTAAAATCTAGATTTTGCAGATATTGGCATAGGATAAATGTGAAAATTTATTTATTTTTTAAAAAGATTTATTTATTTATTTTATATATGAGATTACCCTATCTGCATGTACACCTGCACGCTAGAAGAGGGGACCAGATCCCGTTATAGATGGTTGTGAGCTACCATGTGGTTGCTGGAAATTGAACTCTTCCTCTGGAAGAGCAGACAGTGCTCTTAACCACTGAGCCATTTCTCCAGCCCCAAAGTTTTATTTTTTTATGTGAAGGATGATGTAATAGAAAGCTACCAGATTACAGACATTTGCCTATAAATGTCATAAATCCACAAATGTATGTAAGTTCCCCACTTTTTCCATACATGCCCCAGTCAGAGCACATGAGCCAACAGTGTTCTCAGAAATTTTAAAATAACATCACCGTTTCTTTCTAAACTTTTCACCTTGGGAATAAACTAGGAGAGCTCATCGTAGAAGAGCCGGAACTCCTTGATTCTGAAGTCAGGCATGAAGTACAGCTCACCATTCTAGCTGAGAGCGACAGGCATAGAGCCTTCACCACAGTAGCAGTTTCCATCCAGGATCTGAATGATAATTCTCCACGCTTTACACAAAGTGTGTACCAAGCATCAGTGTCTGAAGGACAGTTCTACAATACTCATGTCATACAGGTAACAGAAATCGTGTGTGTGTGTGTGTGTGTGTGTGTGTGTGTGTGTGTGTGTGTGTGTATTACCAATCAATCATTGTATCTCAAAGTACCCAGGACCTGTGACCAACACGTAATTAAGTTTTAACAATTTTCAGGACACGTTCACTGTTTAGTGGGTTGGATGAACTTTAGAAGGCAGAAAATCTGAAATTCCATTCTTCATTCTTCTTCATTGACCCTATGCACAGTTGCCAGCCACCTGTTTTCTCTAAGTACTAACAAAGACTATGTAGGACACAAAAAAAGTACTGAATCCCAGGTGAAGAGAGGGTGAAGCAGAGCTCATTCCTCTTTCTGGCAGCTCTGGCTGCAGCTCCCAGGGCCTTTCTTCCCGTGTTTACCAGCTTCATTGGCCTGACACACCTCTGGGCGAAGTTAACCATGATGGAGATGTGTTTCCAGAGTGCTAGAATGTTAACGCCCACCGTGGGCAGTGTGCTATCTGAATCATGCTTAAATAGATGGCCCCAGGGGACACAGTGGATTTTGTCCCTATTTGGAAACTAGTTTCTCTTCCTGGTGATCTTAAAGGCTGCTGTGGCCTTTCTAGACCACAGAGCTAACTAGCATGCCGTCCTGATGAGACGAAGTGTATTCCATGTGGTCCTCATCATCCTCCGAGACCCTTGGCAGAAGTTTGGAGAATGAACTGAGGAGTAAATAAAAACAAAACCAGGGAATCAATATAGGAGCCCAAGAGATGACAAGGGATGTGGGCTGAGAAAGAGTCACAGCAGATGTAGAGAGCATGAATTAAAACCGTTTAATAACCCAACAGCTTAAAATAAAATCTTGACTCCAGTGATACAACTGGTGTAGTAACTGGAATCCAGCACAGAAAACCCTGCAATATATCTCCACGGGAAATGTTACAGACCTTTTGTTCTAGCCTTAACACTACTTTGAAAACTCACCAAATAAGCCATTAAGGTGATAATTTATAGCACTAAATCTAGGACTTGATTCACTCAACGGTCCCCTTGAGTTAAAACTTCACCATGAAATAGAAAAGTCTCATATTGGCCTATTTTATAGGCAATGCTTCAATCAGATAAGAAAGGCAACTTAGGGCTGAGGGGGTGGTGGGTGGCTTGTTAGATAAAGCACTTGCCATGCAAGGTGAGAACCAGGGCTCAAATTCCCAGAACACCTGTAAACGCGCATGTGTCAGCCTGCTCCACCCTTAGACGGGAGGCAGGCACTCACGGGGCAACCTGGCTAGCTGCCTGGCTAGAGCAGCTCCAATCGGTGAGCGCCAGGTTAAGGAGAGGGTCTGCTTAAGTATAGAAACAAAGTCACCTAATGTCACCTTCTAGCCTTCTTCCACACATGTGCGTGCACACACGTGTATGTGCAAAAATAAAGTGAGAAAGAGAGAAAGAGAGTTCAACTGAAGACTTGCCATTTAGTGTATGGAGTTTCCTAAAACATTCATTTCATTTTTTTTCTGGAGGCAGCATGAGTCCATGGCAGAACTAGAAAACTTCTATACAAGCATATTATAAGTTTACAGTAACTTTGCTAGTTGCACAGTTATAGCTTGAAACATGTGAGTGCCATTTGGCAATTGTTTAAATGAATATGTAGACATTTTTCTCTCCCATTTCCTCCCAGTCCATCTAAGGCCAGTGAAAGAGCCAGCTGAACATTGGTATGACTAAGCCAGCAGCTCTCAGCCTGTGGTCACGACCCCTTTGGGGGCCAAATGACCCCCTCACAGGGGTCACTTAAGACCAACAGAATACACAGATGTTTACATTATCATTCACAACTGCAGAAAAATTACAGTTATGACAGAGCAATGGAAATAGTTTTATGGTTGGGGTCACCACAATAGGAGGAACCATATTAAGCAGCCTCAGGAAGGCCGAGAAGCGCTGCTCCAAGCATTGTTCCTGGAATGCATTGGATAATCTGTATTCTTTGCTAATTCATTTCTCTGAGAAGCCAGCCTGGATCCCATTACCAGGTGAATCTTTTCCAACGGAAAACTTGGTTTTGCACAGGTCTTTGCTGCTGACTTGGATGAAGGCCTGAACAGCCTGGTGGAGTATTCCATTGTGTCGGGCGACCAGGCCTTCCAGATTGATGCACTGAGCGGGGTCATAACCACAAGTTCCGCGTTGGACTACGAGTCCGCCAATGCCTACAGGTGTGTTCCAGCTTCACACTCAGGCGAGAGGGCTTGCCCAGCCTCTGCCTGACCAATCATTGGTAGTACTCTCCTTTCGCCTTTCTCCCAGCCTCCAGTTGCCCTTCAGTCATGTCAAAACACTCTTAGAAATTATTGCCTGTTTTGAAAAAGCAACTGGATTAGATCTGCAATTCCACACATCCTCTTAAGAAGCAAGAGGGAAACAGTCAAAAGACAGTGTTAGTGAAATGTCCAGTGAGTGGAAAAGCCCTCTGCAAAAGTCTCTTGTTACTGTTCACACAAAGAGTAGGACTGAATGGCATTGCTTTGTGGGTTTCTTTGTTTTTTGTGTTTGAATGCACAGCCTTGTCATCAGGGTCCTTGTTGTGGGATGTTAGTCTAGCAGAATGATCTTATTAAAAGCTGATGTTCAACATTAAAGATTGTGGCCAAGAGTCTGAGTGGTGCCAGCCTCCAGAAAGACCATCTGTGCTGCAAGCCTGCTGCATGTTATCAGGAGTCAGTGTTCATCAAGAACACACACACACACGCACACACACTTACAGCATCTCACTAAAACAAGGACTCCAAGAAACCTAGAATGGCCCACAAATGGATATCCCTCAAAGAATGGTGGTGCAGCCATTGCATAGAACACTCTGAAACTGATTTCTAAAAACAGTCCATGTAGGACAGAGATCCAGAGCCTCTTATTCAATGAACTGAAATAAAAACAGACACAGAACCGCAAAAATACCAAGACAGGCACCTAAAGGCAAAGCAGGAGAAAAAGTGAGAATGCATTGCAGGGGATGAGCGGCTTCATGGGTGAAGCAGACCCTCCTGGGCTCTGATGGCTGTGTAGAGCTTCCTCTGTGGAGTTAAGAAAAAGAGGAATTTGCTTACTAAAGGGCCACAGCGAAGGTGGCTCTCGGCTTTGACTGATACATTAGATACCATAACACTTTGCTACCGCGCATGCCCATTCTTTTACCATCTGATTTTATTCATATGCACATCCAACCATGCACAAGCATAAAGCTCTCAACAGGGGTCCTCCCTTAAAGTTTATTGAAGACACAGTTGTGCCTTACTGTGCACACACCCAAAACCAGTTCAGGCTGGATCAGCCCTTCAATTCATACATTGGTAAAATATTTGTGTAGATTCGAGGTAAGCTTGATTGTTGCAGAGGGAAGACAAACATAGTCTAGAGGTGGGTATATGTGTAACCGATGCAGGTGGGTCCAAGGTTGCTGGGCATGTTTTCCGGAGAAGGGTGTGTGTTCACGGTGAAGGAACTAGCCGCCAAGGGCATTATTGAAACAGGCAGGTATTTAGACCACAAAGCAAGTACAATACAGATTACTGAAGCATTCCCGATGCCTCCTGCCTCAACCACATAGGAAATGACAAGAAACACGCTGGTGTCTATAAGGCATGATCATCTGAGAAAAGGAACATTCTTTTGTTTAAAACACTCCTCAGAGAAGCTGTCAGTACTGCTTGTCTTTGGAGAAACAGTAGGCCTGCCTGTGGTAAGAGAAGTTTGCTTTTCTTGCTTATATCCCTTCTCATTTACATTGTAATAATATTTTGTGATTTTATTCCAAAAAGCTTTGCACATGTGTCCCATAGTTGCCACTAATCTGTGAAGGATGTGTTCTGAGAGTTCTCACTAAAGACCTGAAACTTACATTAAAGCCCATACATACTGCTTCATTCTGTTCCTCAGTACCAGGCAGGATAGCCATATAGTAGCAGAGTCAGTCACTTCTTTCATTTTTCTGCCCTGTGGCATCGTAAGTAACTCAGGAATTACATGGACAGAGGCACAGCTGCACAGCTGCACAGCTGCCTGAAGTGGTTACTAAGTAACTAAGTGGCAGGTGACATATACAGTGCGGACACACTGGACAGAAGAATAATTCACATTCTGGAGAGAGGAGAACAGCATGAAGTTTCACCAAGATACTCAAAACTGTAGCTATTTAAAGCTTATGAATTGTTTATTTCTAGAAATTTCCATTAACACTTTTGGATAGTGGTTGGCTTTGAGTAATTAAAACTTTGAAGCAAACAACCAAACCACTGGCTACAGGGTGTAGCTACTGTGTTTCATTTAATTCTTATAGCCATTTCATAAAGAAGTTAAGGTGAGAATTTTATTTAACAATGAAAATTACATAGGTGGCTTATTTTGTGTTGCAGTATGACTGGAAATTTGAATTTAGACTTATACTCAGTAATTCTGACCCTCAGTCACACTGTTTCTACCACACAAGACAAAGAACAGACCTTCTGATGGGGGGGGGCGGTATTTGAGGCTACTTTCATGTTTCATGAGAAACCATCTATTTGTGTGGTTAAGCACTGAAAGCTGCTTTGAATGGAGCATGTTACTGAGTAGACTGAAGCAGTTACCCATCCCAGGCCCTTCTAATTCTGAAAGTTTGATTAAGCATTTTTTTGTTTTTTTTTATTTAATATATTTCAAAATATTACTTCAAAGGTATTTTTTAAAGTTTAAAACCTTGCCCTAAGTTAGCAGTTTTGTAATATTTTAATATAATTACTAAAACCATTGTGCTTAATGCAAAAATTTGTTAAAACTCAACATTTTGCCTCATTGCTACCATGGAAATTTTAAGCATGAAGCACTTCCCCCCCACAGATGGCTGTAGGTAAATCTCAGCTCATGTTCTTTCAGTGATTGCAATCTCAGGGGTTAGTGAGAGCCTGTCAAGTCCTGGGAGCTAAGCACTTTCCAATTGTGATGGCTGGCCGTTACAGACTTCTTACTCAATGGAGCTTAGTTAGCAATTAAATCAAATAGCTTTCAACTTTTTCCTATTTGCGTCATGTTCCCAACATTTAAATTAGTCCTAATATTTAAAAAGGCCTTTCTCCAACTCCACATGAATAAATTAACTCCAAAGTGTCAGAAGCAAAAGCCAAGAAGTTGACTGCCCCTCGGTTGCCATAGAAGAAAATTATGTGGGCCTTTGTATATCTGCAAATGCCTTCATCTGTACCAGCACTGCATAAGCATGTGCGTGTGGACATGTGTGTGCGCGTGTGTGCGTGCCACAGTGTGAGAGCGGAAGGGAGAGGACTGCCTGTGGGAGTTGGTTCAGTATTTCCACTGTGCAGGTCCCAGGGAGCCAGCTCAGGTCATCAGGGCTGTTGGACAGGGCTTTCAGCGTCCGAGCCACATCGCCGGCCCTCACGACATTCTTTAACATGGGCTCTTCTTGAGCTGAATAAGTTCTTTCTGAACAGGGAATGCTTCCTTTCTATCTTCATATGTGATTTCAGTGTTTCTTCCCCCTGCCCATTGTTTTTTTTTATTGCTGTTTTTGTTTTGGTGTTTGCCACTTTTGGCTGTTGCTGTGGATTCTGTTCTGTAAGTGTTCAGAAGACACTGACCCTTTTCAGGTTTTAGACAGCTAGCTTTGCTTTTTGGCTAACTTCTTTGGGATGCTTCATATATATAAAACAGGAGGCTGAAAAGGAGTGAAGATCATGGAAGAAAAACCTTGTATAAGATATATGCATAGATATGCATGCACAAACACACACACATATGTGCATCTGTTTATAAGACATATTACATGTATATTTAACAAGTAATACACACCAAACATATTTCATAAATGGATCTTGAGGTGTATTTGAGTGCTGCATCTTGAATACGTTCTAATCTCTGGCTTTCTCCCACACTCTGATCTACACCCACCCCTTGACAATTTGTGTCTTTACATCCCCTCCGCTTCCACCTTGCACGCCCATTTTCCTCTTCAGCCTTAGGGATTTGCATATTTTAAAAAATTTCCTCTCTATCCTCTCAGTGGAATTGAGGGAAGAAGAAACAGAGATGGTGAGAAGTCACCTCACCATCCTTCACCAGAAATCCTAACTCTTTTCAGAGCTGTTTCTGGTGTTAGCGGATATTTTTATTTTTAAGATTTCAGAAGGAACAGAAAATTCTTGGTAGATACTTGGAATATAGTGGAGAGAAAATTTTTAAAATTTTCTTCTGCCAACAACTTCAGCTTTTTAAGGAAATTAAGTGAGATCTTATCTGGTTGAAGGCCTCACTGAAGTGTGCTGTGGTGAGAGCAGCCTTCCATACTTGGGAGAAGAGGAAAAGATGTTCTGGTTTAGGTGGGCCTGTTCTGAGTCTGGCCAGTGTCGTCGTGGCCTCTGCTGACACTGCTCAGCGCAAGACCTCTGCTGCGGGAGCCAGATGAACAGGCTACAACCCTCACAAAGACTGCCAAGGAACCTTCAGGCAGCTTGAGGTCTCACAGGCTCCCTCAAGTCTCTGTAGCCCACTCTCTCGTTCTCTCATTTGTTCTTCCAACCAGCAACAGGCTGCCTTTTCCTCACCCTTTTATTTTGAAACAGAACCAGAGATTTTCTCCATGTCAGAGAAAGCTCACTTTTTTTTTTTTTTTTTTTTTTTTTTTTTTTTTTTTTTTTTTTTTTTGCCTGACTTAGGCATTGCACAGAACCCTGAGGCTGTAGCATTATGAGAATACAGGTGTTGTGACAATTAATGGCAGAGTTGATGGAAGTCTAACATTACTGTCTCAGCTGACACTTTAGGTCATGTGGGGAGGGTCACGTGAAAGGACTGGAGTTGGCACAGGACACACCAAGACCAAGTGCTCAGCACAAAGAAGATTTATTTGCCCAGACAAAGGGCACTAAATAAGAGACACAGACAGGAGACAGAGGACTAGGCAGGAAAGAAAAGGAACAAGGGAGAAGGGGAAGGAATATTTGCCCCTGAGAGAAAAAAGACTGCTTCTGGATAGGGAGGAGACAGACAAGCCCCACAGACAAATGGCAGTTTATGAAGGGAAAGGGGGAACCTGGTTCGAGAATGAGTTGCTTTGTTTTGATTGGACATGTTAATTAGGTGACCTGAAGGGAGCTTTTGATTGTTGGATTTTAGTACTTTATTTTTTAAATGAAATTAAATTAAGATATTTATTACAATTTATTCACTT